TGAGAGTTAGTCAGATCATCAATGAAAATGTTACAGGGATGTGATAGATTTGTCACATTCGGAATCGTTGAGTACATTATGGATTGGTTCAGCGATGAATTTGCGGTCGACTTGATATCCATATGGTCCCAGTTGGACGAGATGCTGCTGCATATGAGAAGCTCATGAGGCGCTCAGTCTTCGGTTCGGTGTGACGCAGTGGGCAATATGTACATGGTTTTATCCTATGTGAGCGAGTGGAGTGATAATGAATCTTCCTTGACGAATTCTCGACGATTTTCGTTTCTGGATGAGTATAGGCTTCGGTGTGTAGTTGACTACTGAGCATGCCATTCGATACCCCCGTTACCCAGGCCCCGTCACAAGGCGCCCTCAGCACAGACACCATGTCCGATGGTAATGTCCTGGCTCCTTCGCTAATGCGATGGCGAGTAGCGACGTCTCTGCAGGTTCACATCAAGAGAGCGAGTTATTTGAACGCCTCATCGAGGATGTGAAAAGGAACGGAACGCGCGAGCAGCAGCGATCAGTTCTGGATAGGTTGAGGAGACTGATAGATTCTCCTGAGGTAGGAGGAGAAGGAGTGTTCTATCTTTTCAGGAGACGTACTTCGCTATTAATTGACTTTTGAGTAGCTCTGCTTGTGGCAGGCTGTGACTGAAAGAAGGTCGCCATCCCCGAAGGTTAACGAGTCCACAGATGGGTTCACCTCGAAATGCGGCAGTAGCGCCCAGGATGAGGAGGGTCATCGATTGGATCTGACGAATTATGAAGATTTGAAGTCGAGTTGTATTCGGCTGGTAGCTTGGAATATGGAAGGTAATCCACCGGCGAGGTTGCGACGACGCCTCTGGGGGGTTCTGGTATGCGTAGATGTTGGGTGGCTTTATTCACGTGCGGAAGGCCATCCGATAGAGTAAATATGTGCGGCTCTCTCCAGTTGGGGTCACCAGAGAGCGAAGCGAGTTGTTTTCGAGGTCGAACTTTGAAGACTGGAACCACTATTCCTATACCTGATGCTACTTCCGGAGTCCGCTCGAACCATTTGACTGAGGTCGGATGCCCTAACTGTTTCAAACCAATCTACGTCGATGTGAAACCAGTTCAACCACGGACCGACGCCCCGTCCTCCGGACCACCGTAAGAAGGGTGTGCATTTGTATTTTAGCGCTGACGTTCTTCTTGGTTTTCACGATGTGTATGCTCATCATATCTCTTGTTTATCTAGTCGCCGGCCTCCCCCTCGACGCCGTCATGCGAAGAATGCATGGGTGACGGTTATGTACGGGAATGGAGCGGACTACTTCGTCGGAGCAATGGTAATAGCCGAGGCAGTCTCCTGAGAGCGGATCGCACGTGGTGCTCCTCTCTAGGTACTTGGATGGTCTCTGAGAAATCGGGGTCGAACGCAACAGGATATGGTGCTCCTGCATACGGCCGATGTACCTGAGCAATTCCTCGATACCTTGCGAAGTGTATGGGACTGCAGGGAAGTGGAATACATCAGAAACGTCTCCACTAGACTGTTCCTTAACTTCAAGGGGAGTCGGTAGGTATCCATCGGTTTTGCTATACCGCTCGAAGGGCCCGCCGAATTGATGCCTTCAACGTGTGGTGGAATTCACGCTCCCTGTTCTATCTTATGATGTACAGTTTTTTCCCGCTCCTACTGCCCAAGTGAATTCACTGAATAGACGGCAGTCTGGTGGTGCTCGTAGGTTCCAGGATGTATTTACGAAGCTTCGAGTGTTGGAACTTACTGAATACTCGAAGGTTTGCTTGCTCGACAGCGATATGCTGGTCCGAGACAACATCGATGAAATTTTCGACCTCCAGCCACCAGCGGCACTCGTACGAGGAACTTTTCCCCCGCGCCATGGTGAGGCCTCGTTCAGGATATGGTCGGGAGTTGTCAACTGTGCAACAGGTGCGAAGGTACCGGTGACGACATTCTGGAACGGCCATAGG